AGTTGGACGCGCTGCGGGCCGAGGTGGCTCGCCTGGCTCGCGAGCGCGACCTCTACAAGGCTCGCTGTGACCGGCTGATCTCGAGTGGCCCCGGGTCCGGGGACCACACCCACCTCTTCCTCTGAGCGTCTAGGGCAGGCCTGTGGGGTGTGGAGGGGACTAGGGGACGCTACTGAGGAGTCGGCTGCACTACACCATCGTTACCGAGCCCCTTCCGGTCCCATCCACTCCCCTGTATGGCCACACAGATATCCCCAAACTTCCTGGGCCCTCAAGGTGCTGTCCATTTTCCGGAAGAGGGGTCCCCTCCCCTCTTGCGGGCCTTGAACAGAAACCCAGCCACGGGGCTCTGCAGGGGCCAGGGCTCTGCAGGAGCGGAGGGTGGAGATGTGGAGGACAGCTGCGTGGCACAGGGACTGGGAGGGGAGGGAGTGGTGCAGCTCCTCCCACAGTTTAGTTCTTAATGAAAGGTTTTCAATTTGTAGTGCATTAAGGCTGTAACTAGCAATAAGGCTGTATTTTCTCTCCAAGGGTTGTAATCTTCATAGCAAGAAAAACCAGGAACTCTACCCAAGCTGCATTTTCCTACCTAATCCACTGGTCCTCAGGGCCAGAAGCTGTACAGGCCCGAGGAGTGAGCCCCAGGTGTGGGTTGGTAACTGTTAGGAAAAGAGCTCTTGGCACTAGTCCTGGATCTGCCACTGTCACCTTGAGCAAAAAACAGATCAATTGCTCTCTGGACCTCAGTTACTTCATCTATGGTATATATATATTTGTTTTTCTTTTCTTTTTTTTTTTAATTTGGTAGAAGGGCTCATCTCGGGGCCTTGCTCTTGCGGGGCAGGTGGCAGAACCACTGAGTTAAATCCCTGGCCCTCAGTTACTTCATCTAATCCTCACTTGGGTTGGATGACTTCTGACACCTTTTCAGATCTGGCAGCTCCCCAGTGGGTGAGTTCCAATGATCTCCCCAAGAAGCTCCCAAGACAAACCTCATCAAAGGGACATCCTGTCCTGCTCCAGTTTCTTGACCTCAGCCTCAGCAGTGGATGAGCAGTCCAGGTGGGGAAGCATGGCTTTCCTGGAACCACACACAGTGGTTCTCTGCTGCTCCTTCCAGGCTGCCTCAGCAGCCCTGCAGAGGGTACCCCTGTTCCTGTTCCTCCTACCTCTCTCAGGGCTCAGGTGAGACTTCTCAGGATGACAGGAGCTGGAATGCAGCTTTTGTGAATTAAATTTGAAGCCCAGACAGAATTGTAATGCTATGGACTAAATGTTCTTGCAATTTAAAAAGGGTTCATTTTCTTTCTTTTCTTTTTTTGTACTGGTGATTGAACTCAGGACCTTGCACTTGTGAGGCAGGCACAGTGCCACTGAGCTAAATTCTTGGCCCTAAAAAGGGTTCATTTCCTATCCCTGCTTCAGGCCACTGTTTTGTGTGTCTGGGTGTAGGGGAGGGGGTATCTGTTTGGAGCTGAATGGTAAAGTCTCAGTGTTGGATAGCCAATGAAAATAGGGTGGAGGGGAGTGAGGATTGGTCCAGATGGAGCCTCCCACCATTAGGACCACAGCCTGCCTGTGGCTATCCTCAGGGTCTCACAGTTGCCATGGTAACCCAGCCGTGTAGTTCAGCAGCAGAAGGGGAGAGCAGGTGGGGCCTCCGGGCAGAGCAGAGGCGTACCTCACAGCCACTGTAGTCCATCCTCTAAGGGACATAATAAATGGGAGAAGTGGTGGGGTGTGGGGGAAGTGGCTCACATATGTCTCTCTTCCTTTCTGCCCCTTCTATCCGCCTTCTCCCCAGCTGTCTCTTTTTTTCCCATCACAGTTCTTGTTCCCTCCTCCCCCTTCTCTGGTTCAGCTCATCCCTCCTCCACTCAGGAGCCTGTAGCAGGAGTCCTCTTGAAGGGAGGGGTTGGGGCAGAGGGTGACCCTGCAAGAGTTCAGTTTTTCTTCCCTTTCTCTGTATTTCACTTGTTCCTCTGCCCACTCTCTGGAGCTGCAGTCTAGACCCATTGCTTGTCTTGTAAGCCTTTCTTACCTGCGTGTCACACAAAGGCAGAGACACCTATCCACAGACACCTGGCACACAACTAGGCCACATACACTTACACCTGGGCCTCAAAATAATATACCTGAGTCACATGGACAGACTTCAAACAAAGGTTACACACTGTAGTGGTGAAAGAGTGTGAGTACTTTGGTCAGATGGGCTCAGGCTCAAGTTCTATGAGTTCTCTGACCATGGGAGAGTTAAAAGTCAAGATTTGCTTTGTCAGAAAAATAGGGAAAATAAATGTTAATTATCTGGTGAGGGTACATGCTTTTAAAGAAGCAAAGTTAGACACATACTAAAGAATAATCTTTGTGGTTGCCAGCATACATAGCTCAGAATGCACAGCTAAATTTCTTGAGCCATTGAGGCCATATTCACAGAGGGTCAGGGATGTGTGGTACGTGAACATGTACACATTGACACTTCCAGGAAAGCCGGGCTGAGGCCTAAATGTTCCTCTCTGTTCCTAATGCATTAGCAGACCTGCTGCTGCTCTCCTTCAGTCCCCTCCCCAACACCTCTTCTTGGTCCGCCCCGCAGCTGTGTGGGGGCAGGAGTTCAGCCCCTGGGGAACTCAGTGGGACTTCTCTGGAGACAGCTGTGAGAGGGCATCAGCCTGCCCCCTTGACAACCCTTGATTACTCCCCTACCTCCTGTTATTAACCCCCATGGTGTCTGGATCCCCTAGGCTTGGGAGGTAAGAGTGGGGGATCCTTAGACCCCACTGGCACATAGTTGGGATAAGATTACCAAGACAGAAGCCTCCCTGGAGATCTGCTTCAGATTTGGAAAGGCACAGGCCCTCATTTCCTATGGTGTGCACGGGTGCTGCAGACTGGCCGGTGGGCATCCAAAACATGATAGGTAGAGGCTGAAGTGCTAGGAATGGTTCCCTTTATTAATGACCAGAAAGTCAGATCACTGATGGAAGTCACTGAGGGACTACACAGTTAAAGGGTATGGGGCTGGGATAGATGGGGGCAGGGCCCACATCTCACTTCCATCACCCAGGGGGCACAGCTGGACCAAGAGGCAGAGGCACTGGTCACTTGAGTCACAAAGGTCAGGATGACAGGCACCTGAAAGAGTTATGAACACCCTTGTCTACACTACACACAGCCAAGCTAGGCTTCAGAAGTCCAACTTTGCAACCCCTTTGTCTCCACCCCTTTTGAGCCCCCAAGACTCACTGAGAGGCTGAGGGAGTGTCCTTGGTCCAGTGCAAGGCAGTCATGGGCTAGGGCTTGGAGTTGTGGCTGGCGTGCAGGGCCTGGGAGCCCCAGGGCTGATGCCCTGGCTGGCATAGTACTCCACCACCTGCCTGGGCACCTCAGCCAGGACACACTTAGCTAGCGCAGATGGGGCAGCCTGCGAATGGGGGAAGAGATGAGATTAGGGGCAGAAGGGCAGGAGAGGAGGCGGGGCGAGCCTTCGGGGTGGCCAGCTAGGCTCCAGCTTTGTTTGGAGGATGCCAAGCAAGTGAAGAATAGGACTCTGAGGGGCATGAGGTGCTGAGAAGTCCTTCAGGGAAGGGCACTCACATCCTTAAAGTCCCGGAAGGGCACGAATTGGACGATGTCGCGGGCCGCAGGCACACCTTGGGGGCAGCGCAATGGACCGTCGTCACCGTCCAGCAGCCTCATGTCAGAGAAGTCAGCATTGCCCACACCCACGATGATGATGGACATGGGTAGGCGGGAGGCACGCACGATTGCGGTGCGGGTCTCGGCCATGTCACTCACCACGCCATCGGTGAGCACCAGCAGCACCGAGTACTTCTGAGGGCAGGCAGGCAAAGGAGACAGGATTGCCTCTGAGTGCCAGGCCCAGGACACCCGGGGCAGTGCCGGGCTGTAGGTTTTGTGTCCTCACCGTGGCTTGGCCAGTGCTTTGCTCCCGCTGTGCCGGCCCAGCCACACGGTTGATGATGGGGGCCACGTTGGTGGGGCCATAGAGTTGAATCTGGGGCAAGCAACGGCGGTAGGAGGTAATGACCCCCGAGATCTCTGCGGGCAAAGAAGAGAGATGTAGCTGTTACAGATCAGTAGGGAGCCCTCCTGACACTCCTTAAGGTCTTGGGATTACTGGGTACCTCCATCTCCTGCTCTTCAGGGGACCAGAGGATTGGATGGTCCCAGGGGCTATGAGAACTGGTTGGGAATCTGACCAGATGGATAGGTGGGAGGGACTGGGAGCTGGGCCCCCGGGAATGGAGTCTGTGCTCATGGATGGAATGTCTCGATGTGGTGGAGGTGGACGCAGGCCGGTGGGACTCTCTCAGCTTACCCTCACATTCTGGGTTTTCCGGGTCAAAATTGATAGCAAAGTCATGTGACACCTGTGAGGGAAGATGAGAGCAGTGACGGGTTGGCTGCTCTTCCCCCCTGACCTCCACCATCTCCTCTTTCTTGTGGCACCCAGCCTACCTCGAAGTTGGGGGGGATCCGAGCCCCAAAGCCAAAAGCTGGAAACCGCTTATCACTGGAAAGAAGAACAGGCTTCGGGGCTCGTTGGGCAAAGCTTCCCTTCCTCACCCTCTCCACCCCCTCCTACCTGTCATAGTCCTGGCAGATGCCTCCCACTGCTCGAAGGGCCTGCAGGTAATGGTTCGGCTGTCGGGGGCTGAGGCAGTGTAGGGACTGGCTGCTCCTTGGGTCCCCATTGGAGGCGGTGAAGTCGATGGCCACCTGGTGAGGACAAGGGTGAGGGTGAGGAAACGGTCACACTACTGCCATGAGAGGGAACAGAAAGGCTGGTCCACAGCTAGAATCTTGGAGGGAAGACTGGGATGCACCTGGGGAAGCTCAGTTAGCCTCGTCGTGGGGATGGCTTGGGGTTGGGTTCTAGCTGACAATGCCCCAAGCAGGGGCAGTAAGACTCTGGGCTTCTTCGGTTCAATATGGATTTAGCCCCTCCCTTGTTTGCCCCCATCCCCTGGGCCTTTACCGTGAAGCTGATCTGGCAGCCACCCATGATGTAATCCAGGAAGGTGTGCACCTTTTCCACCTGTGGGGAGGCAGGAGGTAATGGGGGTGGGGTGGTCCTCTTGGGAGGAAGTTTAGGTGGGGCCTGTGCGGGGAATGTGCAGCAGCTGTAGTTTTTGAGGTTGCAGTTGGAGTGGGACACAGCAAGGGTTTCCATTTCCCAAGAACAGAGAAACTGGTCTTTGAAACAAGTGAAGGGTTAACTCTGAGAGTGTGGTAGGGCCAGGGAAGGGGGCAGGGTTTGTGGAAAGAACTGGAGTTTACCGTGCACTGGGCCAGCACTACGGTCCCTGAGCTCTTGTAGTGCTTCTTCTTGTCCCGGTACTTGGGGTTGATACAGTCCCACTGCATCTAGACCCCCCATACCCCACAAATGCAAGGTCATGGTCCATCAGGTGGCCTTTCTTGTCCCCTTTTGCAGAGCTTTCCAGAGCAAGACCCCCACCCCCATCTTTAGACCGAGCCTGGGCATGTTCCACCCTCTCCACCTCTCCTGTTGCCTACAGTGTTTTTTTCAATGTCACCCTCCAGATTTTCCCAGGGATCTGATAGAATTCTGGGGTTGGGGTTTCTGTCACACCTCCTGCCCAGGTTTTGCTGTCCCTTCCTGCATCTCCTGGAAGGTGCTGGTGAACTCGCCGATGAAGTCATGTTTCCCACTGGAGTCATAGTCATACACCAGAAACTGGGAAGGGAGGGGAGAGGTGAGTTCAGGGTGAGGGATACTCTGAAGTGGTTCCTAGGTTGGTTGGGGAACTCTGGGTGGTAGGGACCTCATAGTCTCTAGGCCTAGAAAGATGGCCTTAACCTGCCCAGACAGTCTACCTGCTGAACTTTGTTCTTTGTCACAATCTGTCAGCAACTTTGGCCTCTGATAAAAGGCACACATGTGGGAAGCTTAACATTAAGCTGTGAACTGTCCCACAGTGAGAATTGCTCGCAGGTGGGGGCTTCACACTCAGAGGAAGGTCTCAGACTGCACACTGGATGTTTCAAGTAGGCTGTGCTTGCTTGGCTGGGACTTCACCTTGAGAGGCCGGTGGACATCACAGCTGCATAGAGAGTGCAGGGACAGGCGGAATGGCTCCCAGCTGGGGTTCAGGTTGTTTTTCACCACCTTGGAGAGACACCACGGAACTGGTCACCTCCTATCTCTGTTTCCCTGCTCTGTTCTCCCTTCCCTATGCTTATCTCCACAGGTACCCACCTCAGTCCTCCAGACCAGCTGGTCACTCTGGTCCCTATTGGTCTTATAGATTTCCATAAAAGGGTCGGACTTGCTGAACAGATCCTGGTGACGCAGGGGAAAGGGCCCATGAGTCTTGTGAGGTCTGCAGGGAGGGCTAGGGAGAGGGCTAGCACTGAGAAGGAAGCAGGTCCTAGGTCCCCAGGATCTGCCTTTAGTGGGAGGCCTAGGACTCCATAACAGGGGACATGGGGCCTGGATTCAGAGGTTCTAACCTTGTTGTCCAGCTTTTGGGCTCTGAAGGTAAGTTGTACATAGTCATTGGTACCGGATACCTCCTCGGCCACAATCTGCAAGGGGGACACCAGTGGCAGACTCTCCTTCCCTAACCAGTGGGATCACTCTGTCCCCTTCCCATGGATGGAGTGGTCCTGGGCATGATATCGCCATAGATGACCATGCAGGGGCATTGAATGCCTAGCGCAACGGTGAACACAGGTGATCTTGCTTACCGTGATTGTGGACTTGCCGGCCGTTTTCCCATTCTTCAGCAGTAATGGCTTAGTGACCTTGGTTTGTGACACAATCTGCAGATGAGATGGAGGGAGACCCAGTTGCAACACCCCCAACTGCCTGGGGCCATGATACGTACAAGAGGTAGAAGAATAAGTGCTCTCTGAGTGTCCTCCATTTGGCCTTTTGACTGGGCTAGGGTTGGAGTTAATTTCTACAGCAACCTTAAGAGGGAGGCACAGGACACTGAAGGTGTAGTTTACTGGTACAGTGCCTATTTAGCATGTATCAGGCCATGGGTTCAACATCCAGCACCACAAAACAAGAAAAAGAAAAAAAAAGAGGAAAGAAAGAGAACAAAAGAGAGAGAGAGAGAGAGAGAGAGAGAGAGAGAGAACCACTATAACAGTCCCCTTACCACCACCATTTTTTAGATGGGGAAACTAAGACCCAGAGAATTAAGAATCTTGCCTAAGGCTCCACAACCACTGAATAACACGATGGTATCCAGGCCCAGGTAGAATTAGCTCAAGAGCTCATGCGCTCTCTCTTATTTTAGGTTCCAGAGGCAGAATCTGACAAGGATGGGATGGGTGAGCTGGAATGCAGACCTGGCCCAAGGTGCACTCTGTAGAACCAAGGAAGGTGTCATTGCTGGGGCTGGTAGCTCCATCCTCAGCATCAAACACGTGGAATTGCAAGGGCTGCTTCTCTTCAAAAAAGTATTCGAGGGCCAGTGCCCGGGAGAAGACAGGGCTGGAACAGGAGCGAAGCACCTCCGTGCGCTCTACCTGTGGCGGGGTGGGGGGGTGGAGGGAGCAGAGGCTGCATTCCCCTGCCCAGGTCCTGCCAGCTCTCCTTCAGGTCCTGTATTGCTGACAACTAGCCCTTCCCTTTCTAGGCGGCTGGTCCCCCAGCTGAGAGTGCTGCGGGCCCACTGGACTCCCAGCCTCCTGGGGCTCTCAGGCTTTGAAAGCTATTCCTCAGCCTCTGGGGCATCTCAGGACCCTCTGGGGCATCTCAGGACCCTCTGGGACTCTGTGTGCTTTCAACTGTAAAATGGGTTGCTTTTGTGATGAAGACATGCTTATCTTCATGGTTACCCACATGGACTAGAAAAGGTTCTATAGAGTCCTCACCTTCTCCTACCCACCCTCCTTCCTTCCCAGGCTTAACCCAAGAGGCTAGTTCAGGAAAAACTCAGCTCTCACCTCTATCCACTGTTCATCAGAGTACAGCTTGAGCAGCACGCAGGGGTGGGGCTTGGCCAGTGTGTCCCGGTCCAAGAGGCCATGGCAGGATACTCGAAGCTCCACCCGGGAGGCCCCCAACGTCATGGTTGGGGGCTCAGGCACCCATGACATCTCAGGGTCCGACATGTCACTGTGGAGAGAGCAGGTGGCTTGGTCACTGTCCTCCAGGGGCCCTGGGCCCTACCATCTTGTCCTCTTTGCTGAAGTCACACGCACAGACCTCCTGCTTCTCCTGTCTCTTCTCAGGTTCCCCAGGGCTCCAAGCAGGGGAGGGCAGAGAATCAAATTCTCACACATGTGCCCTGGAGCCCTGCACCTCTCTCAGCTCTACCTACCTAGGCGTGTGAGGATGGGGCTTGAAAGGGATGGAGGTTTGGGATGCAAGCTGGGTTTCTGGCAGCCCCGGCTCCCAGGCCATTGATTGATCCACACTTTCTGCTGTCTCAGCACCTTCTGCTATTTCCCGACTGGTGTTTGAGCCAGCACTGCACTCAATCTTGGCACGAGGGAGCTGAACTGGGACGGGAGGGTGGGGCAGGGGACGGAGAGGCCCCTGGAGGTCTGAAGAAGACGCACTTTGGGAATGGAGTCTGCAGTGGGTGGAGGAGACAGGTGGGAAGGTGCTCTGCTGGGCTGCCTCCCTACCCCCACTCTTCTCTGGCTGGCTTGCGGGAAGGAGGGTAGTGGGCTTGGAAGTTAAGATCAGGATCGGGTCTCTGCTGAAAGCTGCCCCAACTCCCACAGGGGCTCCCACTATGAGAAGCCTTGCCTCCCTCCCAGTCTCCCCTGTTCTCACACTTCTTGGCAGCACCGGCACTGTCTCTTAGCAACAGGATTTGGGGGAGCCACAGCCCCCTCCATGCTGTCCGTGGGATGCACGCCTCCCCCCCATGGTGGTACCAAGCCTCAGGCAGCAGCAGGCAGGGGCCCGCCGGCCTGAGTTCACGGCCGGTCAGTCCATCCAGATGTTTCTGCCCAGATGTCAGAGTGAGGCTGTCTCATCCCATGCCGTGCTTCCCCAGGCGAGTGTGCATTGATGTGTCTGAATACCACACCCTCTGTCTGTCCCTATCTGTCATGTGTCCATCTCTAGGAGGGTGTGACCGTTCCTTACCTCCCTCAGAGTGGGGACCTTTCCCTGGCTGGGTACCCACCACCTCTTCCACTATGTGTGTCTTTCTGGATATGTGAGGGAGGGTCTGGGCTGGGGCTCTCTGCCTTCTAGCTGCTAGTCTCCCAGTTCTGGTGGGTCTTCTGAGGTAGGCAGGGACATGTGGTGGTGAGGGGATCAGGCCGGGATGGGACCTATCTGGGGTTAGAGGAGATGTTGTTATGGAGACTGAGCCAGGCTGGGTCCCACTGGGGCTAGGCTGGGGCTGGGTTGGGGAGGACGGGTGGGCTCACCTGGGCTCGCAGTCGTTCTCCTCTCTCTGGCTCCGGCCCTGGCCCTGACTCCTTGCTGCTCCAGCCGCTGGCACCGGCTCCGCTCTGCTCCGGTTCTGCTGCTATTTATGGGGCTTGGATGGGAAAGGGTGGGGGGGCTGCAGCACCAGCTCCCCCCGCTGCACAGACGGGTTGGGAGGGAGAAGAGAGGAGGGGCAGGGCCACTGCCTGGGAGGGAGCCACAGAACTGGGGGAGGAGGGCGGGCTGGGGGAGGCTCAGAGGCAGGACCCCCACAGACACAGTGACACACATCTTCCCCTTTACACAACACCCACACCCAGCATCACAGAGACACACACACTGCAGTGGTTCATGCACACACACACACACATCCACACAGAGAAACGATGGCGACACACGCACCCACGGCTTACAGGCTCACACATATCTTGACACGCGCAGGCACCAGTACGTAAACTCACCGTGACACCATCACAGCTATAGCCCCACTGCCACACAGTAGAAAACACACCCAGCTTCACAACACTTTCAACAGTATTACACTTGTTAAGGATATTTTCAGTCACATAAAAGAACACTGGGTTGTATTTATCACACATAGGCATACAACTCACTCACACGGACACTGAATGCCGCAGAATGTGGATCTTCGCGTGCTAATTAAAAGCCATCATGTACTGCTCTGAATCTCATAGCTTTGAGAATGACATTCAGTTCCCTAGCTACCTTTACATAAAGAGATACAGGAAATGGACATGATGGCTTAGGACATACAGGCTCACATTTGGGGCATGTGCTGAAGGACTGACTCTCAGGGCATCTTTCCAGTGCCACAATGTACCCAACAACCCCAGCCCCCAAGATTCAACCCATATGGTTACATCCTTGTGGGAGGGGCAGTGCCTCAAGCAGATCTTAAGGAAACAAGACATTAGTCATTCCTAACAAGAGCAGGGGAATTGAGCAATTGCCTGGGGAGACAGAAGCCACGTGAAGACATTCCAGCACATGATGCTCAGGGTGAGAACACAAGTGCATTCACCAGGACACCTTCACTCTCTATCCTTTAAGCTACTCATTTCTTAAGGAAGCAACCATTTATTAGCCATGTTGTGGGTGCCAGGCACTGCATCAGGCACTGGGCACTCTGCTAACCAGAGGATTAAGACATAGCCCCTCGCCCCTGGGGGAGGCAGAAGTGTATGGAACAGAGACACACGGACGCAGATGACAGGCCAATGTGAAATGCGATTATAATGCAAAATTATGGACCTATACAGGATGCAGTGGGGCCCATTAAAAAAAGATTCAATTTGGATGAGTTAGGAAGGCACCAGGGAAGACATCTGGTGATCTTGAATGCCAAGGTTACTATTACTATGCTATGATATCAAAGGGAATGATTAGTTTAATTTTTGATCTTCTCATTTCATAAAGACTTCTGTTCACCTATAAGCTATTTTCCTATTGAGATTTTTTAAACTATTTTTTTCTGGTACTGGAGATTGAACCCAGTGAGCTACACCCTACAGGCTGGGATTGAACACTGAGCTACACCTTACAGGCTGACACAACCCATAATAGCCGCAGGAAGCCCGTGTGTGAACTCATGTACACTCACACTACTCCCCAACCCCCTGTGGTATACTGGGATCTTCCATCCCATCACACCTCCAAGCTGGACACACACACTGTTGGTTTCTGTCATTTGTGTCCCTTCTGCAGTCCTGACCCTGCACATAACACTCACCCTAGCTTGGGGACTTGTCAGTCCTTTTCTGTCAGCAGCTCTCTGTTTTCTCCCTCTCTTCTCAGAGCCCCAAAACCATCCTGGTGGGGTGTTTCTTGCTTTTCCTCACTGTGGCCAAGCCCTGGGGGCTTGGGAAAGGAGCAGATGGTGGGAGGTGGGGCACATGAATGGGGAAGACAGCAGAGACTTGATGCAGACAATGTTTTTTTCTTTTTTTATTCTATACAAGTGGGGAGAAGGCCCCGGGGATAGAGGGACAGAGATCTACCCTCCCAGGGGAGGAGACAGGTCCACCCAAAGCTCTCTGCAGAGCAAGGCATGGAGGCAGGCAGTGAGAGCCTCCCTCTCTCCAGTTTGTTTCCTTCCTTCTGATCCCCCGCCTCCTGCTCCCTAGTGCCTGGCCCTACATCCTGTCTCTGTAGGACAGGGGCTGGCGGGAGGTCTGGGGGAGCAGGAGTGGGTGGCGGTCTGAGTCCTTGTGAGGCACATGTTGAGAGGAAGGCTGGGGAAAGTGATGTAGCGGCTGGCCGTCAGTCTGTTCCTGGTTCACCGATTTCTGCTGGGGACAAATCCAGGGAACCCTGTTTCCTGGGCAGGGAGAGAAACTACCCCACGTTGGGGCTTAAAGAGGTGCAGTATTGGGCAGACGGACAGACTGGCGGTAAGGGGACCCGCCGTCTTACCACTAGCACCTGCAGGGTCAGGGGGCCGCCTTCTGTCAGGCTCCAGTTTGTCACAGGACTGTGCCCGCCGTGTCCTCTTGGGCTTCAGGGGCGCCGTCCGGCGGCCTGGGTCAGGGGGCCCTGAAATGACAGCCACAGGAAGCTCACAAGCTGGGGTGCTCATTCAGCCTGTGAATCCTGGTTGTCACTTATCACACCCCTTGAAAGGTGACCTGGTGTGGGTAGCAAAATCACAGAGGTTGCCCGAGCCCCCCCGCCCCCCTCAGTCAGGATGTCAGACCTTGGACTTCAGGCTCCTCTTGGTCTTGCTGTGAGCCCAGCCTCATCCGGGGCTTGTTGACTCCAGCGGCTGTAACCCCAGTCTCAATGTCCTCCCTGCCCCCTGGCACCTGGGGGGGTCGGTGGCCCCTGGGCACAGCCACTGGCTTGGGGGGCCGTGGAGCTAAAGGGGGGTCCTGCAGCTGGCAGAGGACGGAAGATGCTGGATTAGACTTTGTCCTATCAAAGCATCTTCCCCATTCACCCTGATGGTCCTCACCTTGGCATTCCTAGCTGGAACTGTCCTCTCCGGGAAGTAGGCCCCCTCTTCTTCCTCTCCATCTTGGGAGGCTGGGCTGGGGCTCTGGCAGCTGTGGCTGGGGGCACTCTCCTCAGCTGGGGGATGGGAGGCAGGCACAGGAGAAGCCACAGAAAAGGCATTCTGGCAGGACCCTCCTCTGTCTTCTCCTTCTACAATGTCCCCACTGGCCGGGCCCTTTCTCCTCTAGGTCTATTTGCTCCAACACTTCTGCCTTCAACTTCCCTTCTACTCCCACATTTCCTGAGCCCCTGAGGCTATCACCTCTGGAGAGGGCTCTTTTGCAGAGCACAGTCCAAACCCTTTCCTTTGGGGCAGAGCCAGGATGAGGGACCTCCTGGGCAACACAGGCACGGCTGCCCATCCAGGGCTGCAGCGCCCAGGGCTCCGACAAGGCTGCAACCTGGCATTCCCAGAACAGTCTGCCAGTCTGATTAGATGGTGAGAGCCGGAGGAGAGATGCCCTGGTACCCCCCCCATGGCCTTAATAACATGAACTGGAGGTAGAATACCAGAAAGGGGTGTCTGTGAGGGTCTCTGTGAAGTGTGCATGACTCTTGTGGCTCCCTAAGTGAAGGGTGTGCCCCTTCTTTGGATGCTTTACCTAGCCGGTGTGAGGGACAGAGCATTAGCACAGACTGGTTGGCTTGGAGGATAGTACAAGTGCACAGGCCCTGGCAAGCTTCAGGCTAGCCTAGTTCCACATTATAGTGCTGAGTGGGGCATGGGTAGAATGGGGTAGGACAGGACAGTGAGGAACGGGCGGCCAAAGCCAGGCCAGCGTGTTTATCTTTGAGATTCTAGTCCTTTATCTTGGCCTAGGAATGTGACGGAGTGTCTGTGTGTACAGGGAGATTTTGTTCATGTCAGTATCGTCAGGGTCCATGTTCCAGGCCATTGGAATTTAAATTGAGACCCAGCTGACCAGCTTTTCTTCAGTAGGTCCTTAAGAAGGAGGTCCCTGAATTCAACAGGAAGGAAACATCATACCTGGAGTAATCATCCCTTTTATCCCTCCAGTCATGAAGCCAAATAGGAAGTGACCCATTTAAGGTCATGGGTGGCTGATGGGACTAATGCCTAGGCAGAGCATTGCCCTTTTGGGGGGCCACCTTTCTGAGTAACCTGAAGACAGGTTGTAAGGTATTTCTGGAGGCTGGAGTGTCTGAAGTAGGCCTACTTCACTGGCACTGGTTGGCAGTCTGACTTGCCTACCCTATTCCCAGCTAAGATATGAAATGAGGTTTTAGCTATAGAGGGCACCGAAGTGACCAAGGGTGCCACCTGCCCTAGAAAAGTCAGTGGACCCACCCTCCAGGCATCTGTCCTGTTTGGTAAACCTGTGAAGCAACTCTAATTCTGTAGAATCTTTCTTCAGATTGGGTTGTTCATCCTTTTGGGTGTAGCTTTATAAATATCCTTAAATGTTTTTACTGTATTGACTTCGCACTGCCCCACCTTGATCTTGCCGAGTGGAGGGCATGGTTTCTGTTTGTTTGGATACACCCTGGGCCTTCAGCATTGCTGCCAAGAAGGGCCACTCCATACCTATGTGCCACGTGGCCTCTGCTCGGCGCATGGCACTGAAGCCGGGCTTGCTGCTTTGGGGTGGTGGTGGGGGCTTCCAGGCCCCAGGACCTAAGAGTTGAGAGAGGGATGTAGAAGTGGAAGGGGGAAAGGGAAAAGGAAAATTAGGAGGGGTCTCTGAGAGAAGTTAAAAGGAAGGCAGCGAGGGTGTGAGGCTCACCTGCGTCGTCTGAAGATCGCCGTTTCTGCCAAGCCTGGGTGCTGTCCTCCAGGTCAGGACCTGTCCCCTGCAAGCAGAGCTGAGTCATCCCCCTGGAGGGAGGGGGACTGCAGCTGACAAAAGGCTTCTGCTTTACAATCTCACGTCACTCTCATGTCACTAGTTCCTAGATGTGTGGACTATATTTCCCAAGGAGTGGTACTCATACCACCCTAGGGGCAAAAGAAATGGTTTACACAAATGAAGGTACTGCTATCGTAATAATTATATGTTTATGTTATGTGCAGTAGGAAAAAAATGATGTACAAAAAGCCTGGGATTTTAAAGATGATAATGCTTAGGTTCAGACTAGGTTAAAAAAGGTGAGTTGATTTAAGTTAAAAAAAATTAGGTAAATAATAATTCAAATGGTGCATGGA